AAAGCCTAGGGTCTGAGTGGTCACTAGGAACGACAGGGGTGGTGCTGTTGTGCATGTGTGTGTGTGTGTGTGTAGGTCTTGGCAGACTGTCCCCCTCTGGGCATAGCTAGAAGGCACTTGCCAGGCAGCCCAAAGCCAAACCCAGTGAGATGCTGCCGCCATAAAAACACGTAGGAAAAACAAGGCCTCTGGAGGCGCCTGGGAGAGGAAGAAGCTTTTCTGCTGGTGGGTGCTTGCTTGGGTCTCAGGGGTTTCCCCAGCCCCTCCTGTCCCCTCACACCCGAGGGGAGGGTGAATAGCATTCTATGCCAAACAACTGGCCCAGACCTCTAGGGTCAGGGGATTCTTGCACAAAGCATCTCGGTGCAGAGGCTTTTATCAGGAACTTTTCTAACCAGCCCACGTGTCCCAATGACACAGCCCTGCCCTGGCCACATCCCCTCTCTCGGGGTCCTCCCTGAAAGTCTGCAGGCAGTAGGCTCTCACTGTGGCCCCTCCCACACAAGTCTGGGCTCCTCTGGGCATCTGGCTAAAAGATCTCTATGAGGAGGGCAGATTTAGACAATTCCCTGTGATTTTCCATGGCACCCAGCCCTGCACCGGCTTGCTGCGGTGAGGACAGGGGATTGTACCTGGCATGGGCAGGGCTGCCAAGAGTGCCTCCTCCATAGGCCCCAAGGATTGGTGTCCCTATGTTCTCTCTCCAAAGTGGAGCACTTCTGACTGAAAGGGGAGTACTACTAGCTATCCCAACGGTCACAGGCAGGGAACAGGACTGTTCTGGGTCACTATGCACAGAGCAGATGGCTCAGATGGGCGTCACACTGAACGCGGGCGGGAGGGTGCCCTCTCTACTTGCACCTCCACACCTCCAGCACCAGCAGCTTCCTGGGGGTCCCAGAGGAGCTGATGCTGCCCTCCTTGGCCTTGCTGCCTGAAATCGCAGCATTGGGGCACTTAAGGTCTAAGCTGCCCATTGACCCTCTGCCTTCCTCAGGCACATGTGCTACCGTTGTTCCCTGCAGGGAAAGTGGGGCAGCTGGAGGTGTGGGGGATGATCCCCAGCCACTCTCTGGGACTCTCTGGATTTCAGGTACCCTCATCTGTGTCCCAGTCTCTCCCAGGCAGTGACTTGGGTCCTTAGAAGCCCCCACAGTTCAGGGCAGCTGGCCTGTGGTGCTGCCTCTCTGGCCTGACCACAGCATTCCAGGTTTACAGGTGATAGCCCATGGCTTACCATGCCAATGTTCCTCTGGGACTCTGGGCCCTTCCCTGAGGTTCTTGATGCCCTCTAGGCTGCTGCTGCTTCTACCTGATTTTGTGTGCAGAAATGTGAGTGAGGGAACCCCAGGTCTCCTCTGGCTCTGCTGGGTGCCTTCACTTCCGGGGCCCATTTCCTGCTGGCATACATACTCCTTCTCAATCCCTCTATCTCTGGTGCTCATCACAGCTGGTGTGATGACCAGGACCTGGGAGGAGACAGGTGCCACCTGAACAGCCATCCTGCTCTTCCTGACTGCCTTTTTTTCTGCTTCCTTTGGGTCTTTAATGTCAGTGCTCTCCAAAGTTCTGTTCTGAGGTCCTCTCTTGTCTTCTTCCCATTCTCTTTCTGGGAGACTGCACCCCACGCTCCTGCAACCATCCCCATCCTTGATCCCTGCATCCGACTTCCCAATGTCCTCTATCCCCTACCACATACCTGGCATCTCCATACCGACATATGCTAGCCCCTGGGGGCCTACATTCCCCCCAGAAGTGCTGCTCGGTGTTCCCTGTTCCTTCAAAGGCATCTCCCTCCTCCCAGCCCTGGGCCCTGTGCTGGGAGTGTCAGGACCTCCTGGCGCCCTCTCCCTCCTTCACAGCTTCCAGACCCCTCCTGCTCCCAAACGGGCTCTGCCCTCCCTGTCTGCTGCTGCTGCCCTCCAAGCCGTACTGGGGCAGATCAGAATATTTTGTTTCCCTGTTTCCTTGTTTGGCCTCTGTCCTGTTTGCTCATCTTTGCCAGATTCAACTCAATTCAACTCCATCAGTGTCCCTGGGCTCTGCCCTAGGACACTCAGAGAGGTGCCCGAGAAGCCTGGTGCAGCACAGACCATTAGGAAGGAGGTTGCAAGGCCTCCTCCACCCCCCAGCTCCCTACACCACATGTGAGGCGCAGCAGAAATGTAAAGACTGAGACAGAGCTGTGCGTGCCAGAAGGGAGCAAGGGTCATGGAAATTAAGGGATGACTTCCTGGAAGAGGGAGTCATGTGATGTGGACCTCAAAGAAAGCAGTAGCCTTTTGCAATGTTGCTTGGAGCAACGAAGAGTTAGAAAAACCTAACATTCAGCAGGGGACTGGATCAACGCACTGTGGAATACTTTCAAATGTACTGCTGTGAAAATGGCCCAGCATGGGTAAACCTCAGCCATATAATGTTGGGTGAAATGGCAAATTGAAAAATGGTGACATGCATGGCATGGTGCCATTCGTGTAAATCTTAAAGACACACAAAACAATATATTGTTATGGATACAGATGTCTGTACTTAGAGTATAAACATCTGTATGAGAGTGATAAACCCCAGATTTATCTCTGGGGAGGGAGGGAGAGAAGGAGGAAGGGACAGGAGGAGGGGATCTAGTGTGGCTTGTTCTATTTCTTTGAAAAGACAGAGGAAGGGATCTAAAGCAAATATGGCAAAATGTTAATGTCTGTTCAATGTAGGTGATTACAGGTATGTGGGTGCTTGTTTTATTGTTTTCTCCTTATTTGTGCATTAAACTAAAATTTTAAAGGAAGTTACAAGGAAGAAAAAAAAGAGGGAGCTGGCATTCTACACAGGTTGGGCGTTCCCTACAGGAGCCCAGTGTGAACCAAGGGACAGGGGTTGAATGAGGGCACCCAGGAGCCCAGCACAGCCGGGCAAGGCTGGAGCAGGGGCTGGGGGGAGGGGCCTGGGGAACAGGCTTGCGTGTCTAAAGGGGAGGGCACCAACCTTATCCTCCCTGCTTACTTGCCTCCTCCTCCTCGTGTGTTGCTTAGAGTCCATTGCTTGCCCAGTCCTGCAACAACCTTTGGCTGGATGATTTTCAAGGGTTACGTATTTATTCCTTACCCTCTATTGAGTATCTGTTACAAAAGCTACAGCTCCACGATGGCCCTCTAGATGGGCATTATTACCATCATCCCATCTATATGTTATAGATAAAAAAGCAAGCACAGAGGGGTTAAAGGATTTTCCCACAGTGACACAGCTAGGGGGAGAGAGGTAGAGCTGGGAGTGGCCCAGAGCCTGTGGTCCTCACTGCAGTGGTCTCTATTGCTTCCCACATGCCAGGACACCATGCTGAGTGCCGTGGACTCAGTGATGACACAGGTGACACAGCCCTGCCCTCACACACTGTCTGGGCAAGTCCCGGACACAAACCAAGCAGCACACAGATGTAATTACAACCAATGATCTAGTGAAGGAGGAGAACCTTGTGCTTCAAGGGAGAAAACAAGGACATGACTGAGGGTCATGGGTCCAAGAAGGTCCCTCTGAAGAGGGAACATTTAAGCCAAGACCTAAAGGGTAGAGTTGGCCAGGGGGGATTGGGAAGGGCAGTAAAGACAGAGAAAGCAGCAAGTGCAAAGGCCTGAGGACAGGCCTGGGATTTGGCAAGAAACCGGGAGAAGGTCAGAGGGGCCAAGCATGAGCAGAGAAAAGCAGGAAGGCCGTGAAGGCAGAGGCGGAGGTGGTTCTCATTTGGGATCTCCATTGTAGGAAGGGGGACCACATGTCTGTATGGCCTCAGTTCCAGCCTGTGGTCCCAGTGTAAATATTCATAGTGTCCTATTTTGTTATGAACAATAATAAATTTGAAGGTCACCTTCTCATAGGTGATGATAGAGAGTTTGGATTTTGTTCTCAGGACGGTGGGAAAGCATTGAGGGCTTTTAATAGGAGAGTGACACATCTAATTTATAATGCATAAAGGTCACTGTGGCTGTATTGTGGAGAGGGCTTTCAGGGGCACAGGAAGGAGGCCACTGTCTCTTTCCTGACTCAGTCTGGCAGTGTGGCAGTGTCCAGGCCTGGGAAAGCCAGAGAAGGCCTGGCTTGGGCCGGTGGAGGTTGCAGCCATGGGTGGATCTGACTCCAAGCAAATTAGTCCCCAGAGATGCTGTTCCCCCTCTGCTGCCTGCACTGGTCCAGCCCTCAGTCCCAGACCCAAGGCTTCCAAGAGAGGGCTCAAGAGATAGGAGGAAGCCTCTAAAAACTGCTGCCCAAATCCCAGGACTGCAGGGCAGCTTGTGAAAGAAGCAGGAAAGCTCCCTGGAAGAGCTCAAGGACTCAGTAAGCTCAAGAAATAACGATTAACGATGTGAACTTTCCGTCTGACAATTTATCCCTATCCCTTTGCTTCTCAAAAGAGAAGCAAAATCTCCTCCTTTCCAAGAGGAGATTTCAGAAATGAGGGCCCAGAGCACTCAGAAACACCAACTGGTGAGGGCCTCAGAATGGGGCCAGCTTCCAAAACGAATGAGTGCTGGGGAAAAGCAGGTGGCTTCTGGCATCTGCTGATGTACCTGCTGGCTGGCCAGAGCTTGCGGCCCATGAATGAACACATGTAGGCCCACCCACTCTATGCACCCACCTCCTGGGAGGGGTCTCTGCTGGGGGACACATACGCTGCACACCACACATGGGCAGCTGCCCGCCCAGATTTTCACAGACGTTTTATTTTTAGAGGGGCTAGTAGCATAAGTCCAGGAGTTGGACGAGAAGAAGGGAAGGACAGAAAAGGTAGAAGCCTGCGAAACAAACCTGGCAAGCATGAAGAGCCTCACCTTGGCCCTCCACAAAGTGGTACATGCACACCTGCCTCTTAGGAGACCCAGGACTTGCTGAGTCAACCCTCCATGTTCAGGTGGGGGTCGCTTGAACCCTCCATGTTCAAGTCTGGGTGCCAGGAGGGCACCGCCACAGGCCGAGAGAGAACAGGAGGGGCTGGTGGGAGAGGGGTCACTCACCGAGCGGCAGGACAAAGAAGAAAGGGAACCAGCAGAGTACGAAGACACCCACGACGATGGCCAGCGTCTTGGCCGCTTTCTTCTCACGGGAGAACTTGAGCAGGCGCACGGAGAGCGAGCTGCGGAAGGTGTGGCCCTTGGCGCTGCGCGTGCCTTGAGCCCCGTCGGCGCCCGTGGCCGCGCCGCGACAGTGGATGCGCAGCACCACCTCCGAGGCTTTGCCCCGCTCGCGCTTGACGCCCGCTTCGAGGCTGCGGGTGGTGCTGCGCGCGACCACGTACACGCGGCAGTACATCACCACGATGACCGCCATCGGCAGGTAGAAGGAGCACACTGAGGAGAAGACAGCGTAGCCAGCCTCCTCGGTGATACCGCAGAAGCGCTCGTCAGGGGGCACAGGCTCCTTCCAGCCCAGCAGCGGCCCTACAGACACCACCAGGGCTACGACCCAGAGCAGCGCCAGGATGGCGGCCGCCTTGCGCTCGGTCATGATAGCTGGGTACTTGAGTGAGTGGCGCACGCCCACGTACCGGTCCACGGAGATGGTGCAGAGGCTGAGGATGGAGGCCGTGCAGCACAGCACGTCCACGGCTGCCCACACGTCGCAGAAGGCCCGGCCAAAGGCCCAGAAACCCAGAACCTCCATGGTGGCCGAGAAGGGCAGCACCGTGGCGCTCAGCAGCAGGTCGGCCACCGCCAGGTTCACGATGAAATAGTTGGTGACAGTCTGCAGGTGGCGGTTGCAGGCCACTGAGAGGATGACAAGCAGGTTACCTGCCACGGCCATAAGGATGAAGGCTGCTAGGAAGACGCCCACACCCACGCCCTGCGCGCTCACCACCAGCCCCCCGACGGCCGCCGTGCCATTAACATCGCCGCCTGCACCCGCGCTCCCTGGCTCCCCTGCGGAGCTCCGGTTTTCCTCGCCACTGCCTGTACCCACGACGCCGCCGCCGCCGCCGCCCGCGGCCCCCGGCACGCTGCCCACCGCCGGGCCCTCTGAGGGGGCCGCGCCGCCCGCGCTGCCCCCGCCGCCGCCAGCGCTGGAGCCCCCTGCGCTGCTGTCCGGGCGGGGTCCCTCGAAACTGACCCTCAGGAGATCGGGGAAAGTCATCTCAACGCGCGGCCGTCGGGGGCCGGGCCAGGGCGAAGTACGAACGACCCGCAGGGAGGGGAGCACCTGGCATAGCCGCGGGGCTCCAGATGCAGCTCCGCGCGCGGGTCCCCAGATGCAGCTCCACTCGCGGGTCCCCAGATGCAGCTCCACTCGCGGGTCCTGTCCGGGTCCTGCCCAAGTTCCTGTGACGCGGAGTGCAGCTGTCCGAGAGCGGAGCTGCTTGGCTCGGGCGGCGGCCGGGCTCCTCGAGGCCGGCGGTGGAGTCGCACCGAACAGGGGCCGGCGACGCGCGCGGCGCTCTGAGCGTGTCGGGCGAGCGGGCAAAGCGGCGGCTCCGGGACCGGGCGATGCAGGCAGCGGCCGCTGCAGCGCTCCCAACTCGGCGCGGGGGGGCGGGACCGAGGAGGGGCACCGCCAGGAAGGAGGAGGGGGCGATCCGGGCCGAGACAGGGGCGCCACACTCCAGGAGAGAAGGGACCCTTCGCGCAGGGCAAGCGTGTGTGTTGGGGTCCAGGGGGTCTGCGGCGCTGGCGGGCGCTCGGGTCCTGCAGAAGCCACCCACGCTTCTCCGCAGGTGCCCAAGCCCGCCCTCTCCCCTCGCGATGCCCTTCGCGTTCCCTCTGGCTCCTCTCCCGGACCCCCTCCTTCTTGGCCCTCAACAGCGTCCCTCTTCCTCCCGCCTTCTCTCCCGAGTCTCTCGGTCACTCGCTGGTGCCCTTGGTCGCGCGGTGCGTAGAAGGTGTGAGTTCTGGGTCTTCGGGATCCCGACTTCGGCCGCCAGAGAGCAGCAAGCGCCTGGGATCTGCGGACTGCGGACCGGACGGCGCAATGCCGCTGCGTGTCGCCTCCTGGGACTGCCCGCATGGATCTGCCGCACCTTCTTCTTCTCAGGCCACTGGCCAGGGCAGAGTTTCAAACACCTCTGTCCAGTGCGTTAGCGTGAAGAAAGCCCAGGAAGGGTCGGAAGCCTGTGCTGAGCTGAGGCTGGGTACGATGGGCGCAGGAGCCGGAGGCTGTGACTTCAGACCTCGGACCCTGCCCAAGACGCGCTGGTTTACGTACACCAACTTAGCCACAGTTAATTTTCTCTGTATCAGATGCGGAAATAAATCTTTCTATAGCTACCCTAAATAAGGGGCCTTGTTCTTGTTCTGGCCTTGTTAAGAGGGAGGGTTTAAGTGCCAGAGGGTGGGAAAGGGCACTTGGCAACATGGTTAAGCGGGGCGGGTGTGAGACAGTCTGGCTCCGAATCTGAATCCAGGCTCCGCCCATATTAACCGTGGGACCTCTTTGTGCCTCAATTCCTCATCTGTAAAATGAGAATAAGAAGTGGTGTCTACCTCCTGGCCTAAGGGGTAACTGAGTAAATATGGGCAAGGGCCCCAGAGCAGTGCCTGGGTATATCAAGGCAGTAGGGCTTGTTCCGGGCAGGCTTTTAACAGGGAGGATGGAAGGCAGAGGAGGTGTGGGGCTGATATGGACCTCCAATGCAGGTGTGGGAGAGGGTATGAGAAGCCTCTTGAGCAGTAGCAGGACTGGGTAGGGAGAGGCACACAGAAATCATTCAGGTAGCCGACATAAAAATATCGGCAGTGGCACGTGGCAGGCACCAAGCTGGAAACACTGCAAGGCAGATAATGCCATCTCATAGTTGCAGAATGAGGAGGGCTTGAGCCCTACCAGGGACATGAGGGCCTGCTTGGAGAAGTGTCTGGGAGGGGCCAGAAAGCCCATAGCCTCGGTGTCCACAGACTGGGGATGACACAGGTACAGGACGTCTGAGTCCTAGATGAGAGGTTGCTTTGGAGAAAAAGTAAAACACCCGAGAAATGTTGAGAGACGGATGGCCTCCCTCCTCCCCACTACCCAGTCCAGGAAGCTAAGGCTTTTATAATCATAGCTTGGAAGCAGCTCTTCCAAGGCCTTCCCCATTACATCTTCTTTTATTTTGGTTTTTGGAAACTTACCATAGTGAATTGAAGTGAAAGCAAGGTGGCTTCTCAGGATTAGCTAGCAGCTGACCAAAAGCAAAATCTTGGGTTTGGACTTCCTCTCTGAGAGGGAAGGGACAGTGGGAACCTAAAGGGGAGGCCAGGTGCTCCTCTTTAGTAGGTGTTACATGGCAGGTCAGTGTCCGTGGCTGGCTGCCGTCACATAATGTGGGATAGGTGCAATCCTGGTGGAATCCATTTGATTGTGTGATTGGCCAGTTTTCAAAGAAGACTGGGAAGAGGAGACAGTTAAACCTAAGGCTGGGGCTGGGGTCTAGGGGGCTACTGGACTGGTGTCACATAGACATCTGTGCCTGATTCTGGTGTGGAGAGCCAGCAGAAGGCTGGCTGGAGGTGTCCTTGCCAGCAGGATAGGAAGAGTTGTGGAATAGAATGCCTGGAAGAGGATGGGGAAGTCTTTCCCCATTTCAGGTCTTGGTGGTCCTCAGAAGGTCTGCAAGATGATTCCAGAGGTTCTGGAGCTCTTGGGAAATGAATATGGAAGGACAGTGGTTATGAGATTGTTGTAGGTTCCTGTACCTGTTTATCAGACACTAAAATCTGGGAAGGGGTCAACAGCATGTGCTGCTGGCAGGGGCAGCAAGAGAAAGAGCTGTCTCTCTCTGAAGGGAGGTCTTAGAGGTGGAGGGCTGGGATAAAGCTCAATATCACTCCAAACACACCATTCATAGCCAGATCTTTGCTTGGATGCCTCATGAGCATCTCAGATTAAACATGTTCCTAAGTTACTCACCATCTCTGATGCTAAAATCAACTTACTGTATTCACTTTTGAAAATGGAACCACCATCCATGCAATTGCTGCAGTTAGAAACCTAAACTCCTCCTTCTGTTTTACTCTCCACCCCAAATCTAGCCAGTCCTAGAGTAGTGTTGATTGTGTTTGCCTACTTGACTTTGTGAACACATCCCTTTCTCTCCAAGGTCTCTGCTGAAGGTCAGGCCCCGGTCACGCCTCACTCCGATTTTCATTCATACTCTAATAATGCCTCCCAGTCTGTTGCCATATGGACCTTCTAAATATGACCATTTTACTCTTTTAAAAATATTTATTTGATAACTCACCCGTGCTTTAAGTTCATAGCACACTTAGTCTTGTGTGACTGGACTCTCCTGTTTCTTACCTTTTTTTTGGTTGGGGAATGCTCAAAGTAGGTTGTTTGGAAGGCTACTTGCAGGAAGCATGATAAGGTTGTTTCTTTAAAATGGATGCTGCTTTGAATCTGGGGCACATGGGACCCTGGGATTTATGTGGATTATAAATGAATGAATATGAGTCAAAGGCTTTCGTTCCTGAAATGATTCTTACATGAGATTTATGCTCTAGCATCTCATACATGAGTAGAACTTTGTTCAGAGGGATATCCTCTTGAAAAATGGCTAGAACCTTTCCTATTGGAGCTCAAGGTCCAGAAACCAAGACTCTTAGGCACATCTCTACAGCATTTATTTATTTATTTATTTATTTATTTATTTATTGTGGAGACAGGATCTCACTCTGTTGCCCAGGCTAGTCTCAAACTCCTGGGCTCAAGCAACCCTCCCATCTTGACCTTCCAAAGTGCTGAGCCACCGTGGCACCTGGCCTCCAAAATATTTTGATCTGGAGTCTGTCCCCTCCAATCATCCTTAAGGGCTTCCTGGAGGAAGTGGATTTCAGGGAGAGCTTAAATATTCTTTGGCTCAAGAATTATCTTCCATTCTTCATCATTTCTTACTTTGGTTTCGCCTGTGAAAGTGGGGTCATCTTTCTCTAAAGAAATGTTGGAAGGCTTTCTGAAACTGCCATGTGTATGGTCTGTCAATGTTCTTGGCTGAAGGATACTGCTGGGTTATTCCTTTGGGTAACATATTTGCCACAGTGGGTAGAGGAAGAGTGGTTGGGACTGCTGGTAGCATCAATTGTGATATGATATGAACTCCTCTCCCTTATCCCATCAATTATCCTCTCAGCTGTCCCCGTTAGAGTCAAGTCCCTAGCAGGCAGTATGTTTTCTAAATGCAGAGCCTTTCCTGGGGCAGCAGGCAAGTCATCAGTGGTTTTGGTAGGAACTCTTATGTAAGAGCCAAATGTTGATGTTCTGGCTCTGTGCTTCCTCCCTATATGGTCTTTGCCAAATTTTTGGACCTAGTTGTCTCCTTTATAAAATGGGGCAAATGGGATTTAACTAGAACAGAGATTAAAGCAAAGAAATTCTTTAAGTGAAGCCTTCATAGAAGCCCAAGATAGGCTGGAGTATGGTAGCCAAGGAGTAAGGAAGTAAGGCAGTATGGGGCAAGGAGGCCAAGGCGAGAGGACTGCTTGAGCCCAGGAGTTTAAGACCAGCCGGGCAATAGTGAGACCTTGTTCCTACCAGAAAAAAACAAAAAACAAAAAACAAAAAACAAAAGAAAGCTGACTGTGGTGGTGCAGGTTGAAGTCCTAGCTTCTCTGGAGGCTGACATGGGAGGATCACTTGAGCTTGGGAGATTGAGGCCGCAGTGCGCTGTGATGATGGCGGCACTGTACTCAGCCTGGGTGATAGAGTGAGATCCTGTCTCAAAAAAAAAAAAAAAAAAACCCAAGAAACCCAATATAAACATTCAGGTATTTGTGAAGAAACTTTAGTTGGATCAGAGGCAAAGCCCTGAGATCCTCAAGGATCCCTCTCACGATGCATCCTGTTCCCTGAGGCATTCTGATGGCGTGTGGGTCCAGGAGACTTGTGGGCAAGCTGCTAGACCAGTGAGCCCTGGAGACCCTGTTGGTCTGGGGGTTCTTTGTGATGCAGCAGTATGGCGCCCCATTTAGATGCAAGACTAAGCACTTGCATTATCTCTTCTCCCTTATGATACTTCTTTAGAGTGACAGCAAAGAAAAAGTTTTCTTACAACTGAGAAGTTAACTCCTATACAGAGAAACTCTGGACTCTAGCCCCTAAAGAGGAGACTTGAAGGAACCCTGCAAGAGGTCATGAAGGCATTGAGGAGTTCAGGACCGCATCCTTGCCTGTGAAGATGCCATAGATTGGTTGGCACTGTCAGAGTCAGGACGCCAA